AAAATTCACCTTGTTAAAAAATGGGAAAACCATTGCCTTGTTAAAAAGATTAATTAAAGAAACCACTTTGTTAACACAAACAATGAAAAATTATTATATAAAATTAACCAATAAAAATTAATTTATGAGTGATGTTTTGAAGGGTGATCGTCAAAAATATCACAAAATTTAGCCAATGAAATCAAATGTTCACTATGCTCATCATACAAGTAAAATTAAGTTGGTAGACGATTTACATTATTGTGAACAAAAATTTATGGATAAGTATGGGAAAATCGGATTTACCAAGGCAAAAGAAGGCTCAAGCAATTTGATTTATTGTATTATCACCAGATGCAGAAAAAACAACTTATTAAACAAAAAATTTCTACTAATTGGTTTTTATTTTGCAAATAAATGACTTGTACAACAATTATTTATTGTTTTATTAAAGAAATTCTGAACATTGACTTATTTCTAAAGTAGTAATGATACTATTTAATAGTTTTTACTTTAAAATATTTGATTTTCAGAAATTTAAGCTAAGATTATAACAAAAAGCCATGCTAAAAATATAAAATTATATATACAGGTCACTCCCGTTATAAGGACACTCATGGGACAGACAAAAAATGTCCATATAATGAGATTGTTCTTATAACAGGAGTTCATATAAAATCACATGACTTGAAAAAAGATAAAATTTTTTTAGAATTTTACAATATTTACACTATATAAATAAATATAAAATAAAAAATATTTTTGTAAATAAAATTATAAAGTATACATTAAAATAAAGATTTTTCATTTATTATATATAGTGTATTTGATTCAAATCATGGATTCAAATCAGTAACCAGTCAGTTTGAATCAAATCAAATCAGTTCAAATCAAATTATATATTCGAATCTGTTCGAATCAATCCGAATTCAAATCTGTTTGAATCAAATTATGTATTTGAATCTGTTCAAATCAAATCAAATCAATCCGAATTCAAATCCGTTCAAATCAAAGTACAATTCGATTCGATTCGAATTTGATTTGAATGAAACGAATCAAAAATTAAGTGATTTGATTCGATTCGAATTTGATTCGTTCGAATTGGTTCGAACTTCATTGATTCGTTCAGAGCCTTACAAAAAACTATTCAATTGGAATAGGCAGAGCCTGGAGTTGAAGACTCATCTCAAACTTCTGCTGAATTGGAGCAAGTGTCCATTGATCAGAAAATTCCTTATAATCAGAAAGTAGAACAAGGCCTAATGCATGAGTTATCTGTTTGTGCCAAAGACAATGATATTGAAAATAATGCAATACACAGATTTCCATCCAATAAATCATTTGATATTCAAATTCCTGAATTATCTTTAGAAGTAATTCTAACAGAAACTTGCAGAGTTACAGCACAAAATATAGCTGATTTTATTTAATATAGCAATGAAGACTAGACAAAAGGAGATTTTATACTGGTATTGTTATTATAAACATATGAGGATAGAATCAGGAATATTAGGTCTATAGAAAAAATTGATGACAAATCTGCAAGGACATTGGTATATAATGAAATCCAATCACTTCTACCCGACATTACCAATGTAAACTTGTGTAAAATAACTTTCAGAGCTAAAAAAATATATATATTGTTTGAAGGAATTGGGATGGATAGAATCAGGCAAGTAACTTACAGTACAAATGCTATTTCAAGTCTAAAAGATATTCAAATTCAAAATATTATAAATTGTTTCCCTAAAAAGAGCACACATGTGATTGAACCATCTATCTCAAATGATTCAGAAAAATTACCATAAACTGAGGTAAGTGCATTGTCTGAAAAGGTTTTATCAGAAATCCAGATAAATACATCTAACAAATTCCATCCTCCAATTTCTACTTTACCTGGGCCATCAGGAAAATGGGTACAAATATTATGCATATATAATACACAATTGCAGGGATTAAGCATATAATATGCATACAAATCGCGTATTTTTTTATGTATGCAAATTGTACATATATTATATGCTTAATCCCTGCAATTGCGTATTATATACGCATAATATTTGTACCCATTTTCCTGATGTGATGATCCTGAAGAAAAATAAAAATGCATTGTTAAAATGACATTAGAGCAATTTCCTTATTTATCTTTTAAATATAGTAATGAACATGGCGAATATTTTGATTGTTCAGAAAATTGGCCTGCATGTAATAAAGAGCATAAGAGGAATGATATAAAAGGCAAATGGGGTGATGGTGAATATTTTGGCAAAAAAACTTATTGTCTCAATTGTTGGATGAATAATCAGAGAGGAATACCAATAGTAAATGTGAAAGTGTAAAATGATATGGAGATGCAATAATATGTGGGCCCATAGGAGCAAGTATATCTCATGATGTGAGAGAAAGCTGGTTATTATTGTTTCATACTATAGACTACTTCACATATATTTCTGCTAACATCAAATCTATTTCCACGATTTGGGCATCAAAAGGATTATAATGTTCTCTGTGTACTTCCTTTGAAAGATTGTTATCCTTAGGCTGAGATTTAGGTTCGGGTTCAGGGATTGGTATCAGAATCAGAATCAAAATCAGAATCAGAAGAAGTGTCACCCTCAGCATAATAAGTTCCAGAATCAAAATGGTCGATCTTTTGTCTCATTGCAATTCTACAAGGTAAACTAAGATGTTGGGCTGTTGGATTTCGACTACCATGAACTCTAGAAGCATGTTTGCTCCGCTATTTTTCTCAATCTTTTGGCAGTAATACCATATGCCTTTAAAAATTTGCTAAATGCTCTGATATTGTGTTTTCTATTATCACCATATACAGGAACACATAACTTTTCAGTTGCTATAGCATCTTGAATCCAAGTAAGCAATTCTCTTGCACATTCTGGATTCTCTTCCATGGAAAGGGATTGTTGAGGCTCAGGATTAACCTTCTTCTCCCTTATTCTTAACATATCCTGTACAATACCAATAATAACCAGTTTTGTACCATTCCAGAGGGTCTGGTGAGTCAATGACTCAAAGCTTGGCTTCTTTACAATGGATAATATGAAGAGTAGTAACTTCAGCAGGTCTCATGCTCAACATCATAATCACATTGGCGAGATCCTGCATAGTTGGAATTTTAGTAGTATTGATATTTTGGATTCTTCTAAGCCCCACATCTAAGGAGAAGTGTTTAGGGTTTTGGGTGAATTGGGTAATCACTGTACAAGTTGCTTCTTCTGAATTTCATTAGATGCTTGAGTAAGATCTGAAATTTAGCATATTTATCAATTACTTTATAATCAACTCCAACTTCTTTCAATTCCTTACAAAATAATGTAAGACATGAGCTGGATGTGACAATTTCTTCATCACTATCATTTTTTGTCTTGATTAAAGCTAAAGCATGTAAGTAAATATCATATGGATCACCACTTTTGGTGCAATATTGAGCTCTTTCCCTAATAGTAAGTTTTTCATTCCTTTTATCTAGTACAAGAGCCTTGATCTGATCTTCTTTGAATAAGCATCAGCAAAGGACTTCTTTTATGCTTTTGCAGGCTTTCCAATCTGGAAGCATAGCACTGAGTTCACTAGCATAGTCATATAATTGAGATGGGTTGGATTCAGCAGACAAGTTATATTTTTCTAGGATCAGGTCCAAAATCAAGGTAAAGTTATTAGTTCTGGGCTTTTGGGTTTTTGAGGCAGCTGCCATGGTTGTATTGATAATATATTGATTTACTTATTCTTTCAAATTGAAATTAATCACCCGCCCCTTTGATAATGCTTTGCAGAGTACACAATGCTCTAGGTCTCAGGAAATATGACTGCCCCAAATGAGAGTTCTAAGTGGACATTCAGTTAAGTGGTCTTGGAATATATTTCGCATTTTTGAATGTTTATCCAATTTACCTGTAATGCACAAAGTGCACTTTCTTTGAAAGATAAATAGTGAAAGGAAAGTTTAATATTATTATTATTTTACGGAAAATGTAAATCCGTATTAACATTAATATTTACTACTTCTAACCAAGTGAATGATTTGTTCAGTGATCCTGGTAACACATTGACACCTAAAAGAACAAAACTCGATCCAATTCTTTGAACGAATAGTTTTTTAAAAAAAACATGATCGATATAGAAACATAGAAATTATCTTTTATCGTCGTTATAATTTTTTTATCTGACTATAGTCAAACCTCGTTTCAACAAATCTATGAGGCACATAAGAAAATTGCATTACTAATCATTTTATATGTGAAACAAAATTCATTGTAACGCGAATTTAATTATAATTTGTTGAAACGAGGTTTGACCGTACATTAATATTTACAGATATTCGATGATATTCGATGATATCAAACTGGAGAACAGACCTAATATTCGGATATCCATTATCATAGAGCTCACGAACTAATACTGACTGATACATATTTAAATGTAATCGACAAATAATTTTTTTAAAACTAGAGACCCATTCTATCAACTAATATATAATGAACTTTGTAAAATTCAATATTTGTATAACGAACTGCCTTGGAAAATCATAATATAAATGGTGCCGAACTCTTAAAAGTATTAATTATTATTATAATTGCTTCTTTCTTTAAAGTATAACGAAAACAAGGCTAGCTTCTTTCTTTGACAAATTATAATTAATAAAAATACAAATTTTTTGTTAATATCTTTTTTAAACATACAGCCAAGGTGTGGTTCTTGTCACAAATGAAACTGTTGGAGGAAGACTTTTATTTTGCCCAATACAAAACATGATGAAATAACAAGTGCAGAATCTTTTTTAAACAACTTCAAGAAGAAGATATGAATAATACACAAATTTAATTAATAATTTAAATTATTTAATCGCATTTGAATTTATTAGTATTGATGAAATAGAAATATCAACGGTGATTCCTCCACTTCCACCTGTGTCACATAAAAACTCCTTGTTGACAATAGAAAAATCAATTTATATTTTGAACAACAACCAGACAAATCACAATTAGCAGATAATTAATTGATATTGATAAAAAAAATTCAAGATATTGAATTTAATCCATAAGTAGAGCTTTTCCTATATATTAATAATAATAATACGTATAGGATAACCATTTGGAAAATTTAAGACACGGATATTAATATCCTATCAGCTATTAAATAGTAATAGGATAACGGATAACGGATAACTCGAATAATAACAACAATAGATAAATAATCCGAAATATCCTAGATTCACTAATTATTCATAAACAAGATTTTAAATTTAAAACTTTCATAAAAAATAGTTTATGATATTATTTTGAATCTGATGGGTGACTTTTTCGTTTACCTCAATGATATATTCAACTGCAAAGTTTTGATCCTCCTTTACTTTTGACTCGAAGATTTAATGAATCAGATTTTCTTTATTATCAAGAAGTTTATCAAGCACGTTTTTTGTATGCTCCAATACCATCGCCAGTATCGTCAAAAATAGGTGGTGTAGGCTTTTCTATCATCATATTCAGACCATGCATGTTTTTTTGAAGCTCTTTCAGTTGACATATTTGGAAATGGTATGCTTTAAGTTTTGCAAGTGATTTCTTTGTTTCCTAAACTGGTTCTTTTGAATGTGTCATTTATGTTTTATAATACAATATAATCTTATTACAACGAAGTGGCTGGACATTAATATTTTTTGACGAAATGTTGCCAAAGTTGTAAAACTATTACGTCAAATTCGCTGCCATTAAGTCAAAAATAACGCAAGTAAAATTGCTTTAAAGGCTAATAAAATATAAAAGCTCATAAACAAAATTATACAGTAAATATATATTCCAAGAGCAAAGGTTGCTCGACAGCGATGCCTTCGAAATTGGCTTCGATTTTGTCGATAAAAGCAGTGTAAGCTTTGCAGGTCTTTTTTTTTATATTTTTCTCGTGTGCCCAATCTCTCCTTTATTTCACTAATTGTTCCAAGGAACTAAGGTTTTCTTTTGCTGAATACAAATTCAGTTCTCACACATTCATTTACTACTAAACTCGAACGTTTTTTATATTAATATTAATAACGTGATACATGATTCGGTATCTTATGTTCCAGGGTAAACTAACTTTAGTGTATCAAATGAAATTTTACGAAAAAGCCTTTTATAATTATTACTGTGTAAATAATTTATAGTAGTCTTTAAAATGTCAGTATTGATTGATTAAGACTTTGCACCTTTATTTTTATCCTTATTGTAATGATCAATGAAAATTTCATCGAGGATAACTTCTGATCTTCGCTTGAAAAAGCATAAAAAGCATAAATTAGGGACCTCTCGGAAGATAATTAGCATTCTAATAAAATAATACTCTGATAGAATCATTATTTTCATTAAATAAAATCAATCGTTAATAAACTTTTAAAAATAAAAAATAAAAACAAAAACATTGTCTTTATTTCCTTTCTTTAAAGCGCTTGATAAAAACAACAAGTGTAGTCAGTACCTCGGTAAAAGGTAACAATTGTGGAGCTTCAATAAAAAGCCGTGTTTATTTGCTTTAGTGAGTAAGCAAAGGTTTGGACTAACGTTGGTTAACTAGTGGGTGTTAATGAAATAGTATTATTGTGGTCGTAAACGTAAGGCTGTTAAACAAGCTACTCAAGTTGCTTTCGCAAGTAAACTAAAACGAGTTTGCAATCAACCAATAAATATAAACAACTGAAACAAATCAATCACAAATGAATAAAAGGAATTTTGTAGTATTGCAAAAAGGCCATCTTTATTTATTTACAGTTAAAGTAAAAACCCTTGACTAAAGTAAACCACTTGACGTATGTAAAACTTTCGATGCAAGTAAAAACACTTGATACAAGCAGCAAGTAAATAAATGATTGGTTTAATGATTGTAGTCAAAATTGTCTTAGCAATTCGAAATAGTTTCGTTATCTGGCACCATTAAGTGTGCTCACAGATTCATCTAGGTGCAGTAATCGTGAACCAAAGTAAATTCTTTAACTAATTAATTGGCAAGCACCGAATTATTGTGAGTTATTAACTGGCAAGAGTAGCCCAAAAGTTAACCCATAATTGTTAATTAACCAAAATGGATACCTCGCAATATCACCATTTAACAAGAATCAAAAAATTGTAAAAAAGTTTATTATTTAAAAATATTGTTACAAAATAAAAATAAAATAAGGGTAAAATAGAAAGATAAATAAAAAGAAAATAATAAATTTATAGTGGAGATTAAATTAGTCATTCGTCACATCTTTATTTTACTATTGTTACTAGAATCTAATCTATTAATTAATATCGTTAGTAATAATTAATGGTTAGTAATCTCCAATTAATTAATAATGAAATTTTATTCACCTTTGTTAACATTTAGAGAAAGGAGTTACAATCAAGATTATTTAACGA